GGTCCGGGAAGATCCCACATGCCGCGGAGAGGCCGGGCACGTGAGCCGTGGCCGCCGAGCCTGTGCGTCCGGAGCCTGTGCTCCGCAACGGGAGAGGCCACAACAGCGAGAGGCCCGCGTACAGCAAAAAAAAGAAAGAAAGAAAGAAAGAAAACCTGCTTGAACAATATCCAGTCTTCAATCTGAGCTTATTTTATAAACCATTGCAGAGACGTAGGAAGAAAGATGAAGTCAGCCCAGAGTATATCAGATCTTGACAGACTTGCACAAAGGAAAATAGAGGAAGCGAGAGAACAGAGACAACATGTCGTCTTTTATGGAATGCTCTGTTTTTCTCTGTGAGATTTTTTTAAATGTCCAGTACTAGAGTTTTTCTACCTAGATAAGGGTTTAACTCACTGTTTATGTGGGGATATCATTGGGTTTCAGATTAGTTCCCCAATTCAGTGTGCATTTGTTCCTGGAACCTTCAACTTGATCACAGAGATTCAACACCTTGTTTCATTTGTTTCTCACAGCAGCTGCTTTCAAGATGAAAAGATAGTTTCTTTCGGTTTACATCTCTGTAGATTTGAAGGTATTAGTGAGAATTTTTATGATTCGGATAATTCACCATTATGACTTCTTTGGGAGCCAGAACAGCATTATGAGCCTCAACCCTGCTGCAGTATGCTTCTCAAAGACCATTTATTTCTGTCGTTGACCACCCAACTTTTGAGATTTATGACATAAAGCTGTATATTTTTCCCCGTTTGATCATTGCTGGTGGAAGTTTTTTCCTCTGGTTTTTACTCTTTTTTGTTGTTGTTGTTGTTGATTTCTGTTAGATATGGAGACGCAGAAATTCTTTGTTACAACTTGATTCTACTGTGCTAACCTTGTAAGCTCAAGTCAGTAAATTTTTAAAGAAATACCTTTTATGTAAGGAAAAATAACCATTAAAATAGACAATGTCTTCAGCCTCAGTTTTGCAACAGATGCAGAGGAATTTTTCATAACGATGGTTCATGTAGAAATCCTCAATGACATACTACCTCAGTGACATAATAGCAGCCAGATATTAAGGTATATCTCAAAATGAAAGGTATCTTATAGGTGCAGAAACATATATGATGAGATAAATTGCCTTCAGGTGATCTAACATGATAGAAGAGTAAGACTCACAATATCCTGAGTGGTACATGGTTAGAAAGTTTGGCTTAGTCCAGTTTAATGTGCATATATAGCACCTTGAGGAGTCTTTCTAAAATTGCAGATCCTGAATCAGTAAGTCTTGGATGGGACCTGAGATTCTATATTTCTAACAAGCTCCCTGGTAAAACAAATGTTGCTGGTCTTCAGATCATACTTTTAGTAGCAAGGTTCTTGACTAGACTACAGCACCTATACTTGACTAAATCCTTGAGGCCAGGGCCTTATTTGTCTTTGGATCCCTGTTATCTCGTGAAGTGCCTGAATAAAAGGCACTTTATTGTTAAATAAACGAACTGATGTGTTAAATAAGTATATGACCACTAGGTGTCTGGAATACTCGTATTTTATATTAACGGTTGAGAAAGAATCCTTATGTTTTGGAGACCAGCTGAGTGAATGATAAGATTGCTATTTTCTTTTAAAAGTCCACAATCCTAACTAAGATTTTTGCTCAGTTGAAAAACTGTGGTACATCACACAGCTACTTTGGACAACAAAATATTACTTTTCAAATACTAGAACATATCCTTAACTGAGCTCAAGATACCAAATTTTATTTAAATGAAAGAAAATCTATAGAGTATGTGTTATCAGTTATCCATCCTGGGAATAGAAAAATTCAAGTAATATTCCTATGGTGCAACTAATCTTAAGCTATGACATCTTTGTGGGCCCACCCAGTTGGGTTAGCTGTGAAGTTCACCTTCAGATAACTGAACTTATTGTCTCTTTAAGCTAGTAGTTCTCAACTGGTTGGCAGCATTTTAAAATTACCTGGAAAGCTTTTTAGAATCCCAATTTCCAAGCTGTACCCCAGAAATGAGACCCAAGCATCAGTATTTTTACAAGCTCCACAGATAATTCCAGTGTATAACCAAAGTTGAGAACCATTACTGGACTATGAGCTCTTTAAAACCAGGGTCAGTCTTTCACTTATTTTTTAACTCTTAACACCTAAGACATGATATAGGTCCTCAGTAAATGTTCACTTAATCAATGGATGAAATATGTTATAAGAATTATTGCCTGTTGCCAAACAATAGCATTCTTCACTCTAAAGGGACTATTTTGACTATTTTTATTGGCATCTTGAAATTTGAAAAGTTTGAATTGCCCTCTTGGTATTGACAATACTGAAAATTAGTATTTGATATAGTTTTTTTTTTTTTAGTGCTTGAGCTGTTTTGTTGATACAAGTTGGATTTCACATCACTTTTTATCAAGATCTGATACAAATGGAGGTGTGGTCAAAGACTACAATGCTGTGGCACAAACACTTCAGTAATATGGGATATTACAAAGAAACCTAAAGTTTCTAAGGTCTATTAGTGGGAAGACAAGATCAGTTCATCTCATTGCTGAGTTATGGAGTCAACTATGTATTTTTTTATAGACCAGAAATAATAACTACTTAGAATGATGAGTATTTTTGCTTTTGTAATTTCTAAATAAATAGAAGAGCAAAACAATGGAAATTTTAAGTTTGATTTGTGAAACCACCACATAATCACCTTTATTATAATAACCATTGATTTTGTTTGTTTGTTTTTGTTTTTTTAACATCTTTATTGGAGTATAATTGCTTTACATTGTTGTGTTTGTTGCTGCTGTATAACAAAGCGAGTCAGCTATACGTATACATATATCCCCATATCCCCTCCCTCTTGCGTCTCCCTCCCGCCCTCCCTATCCTACCCCTCTAGGTGGTCACAAAGCACCGAGCTGATCTCCCTGTGCTATGCGACTGCTTCTCACTAGCTATCTGTTTTACATTTGGTAGTGTATATATGTCCATGCCACTCTCTCACTTTGTCCCAGCTTACCCTTCCCCCTCCCCGTGTCCTCAAGTCCATTCTCTGTGTCTGTGTCTTTATTCCTGTCCTGCCCCTAGGTTCTTCAGAATCTTTTTTTTTTTTTTTTAGATTCCATATATATGTGTTAGCATATGGTGTATGTTTTTCTTTTTCTGACTTAACTTCACTGTGTATGGCAGACTCTGGGTCCATCCACCTCACTACAAGTAATTCAATTTCATTCCTTTTTATGGCTGAGTAATATATATGTGCCACATCTTCTTTATCCATTCATCTGTCGATGGACACTTAGGTTGCTTCTGTGTCCTGGCTATTGTAAATAGTGCTGCAGTGAACATTTTGGTACATGACTCTTTTTGAATTATGGTTTTCTCAGGGTATATGCCCAGGAGTGGGATTGCTGGGTCATATGGTAGTCTGTTTTTAGTTTTTTAAGGAACCTCCGTACTGTTCTCCATAGTGGCTGTATCAATTTACATTCCCACCAACAGTGCAAGAGGGTTCCCTTTTCTCCACACACTCTCCAGCATTTATTGTTTGTAGATTAACCATTGATTTTTTGTGTGTGTGAGCTTTCCTCAGAAAAAAATTATAACTATATCAGTGGTGGGAGTTCTTCAGTTAGGATCTAGTAGTCTATATTTTATGTCTTTTTAAAAATAGTTTGTTGCCATTAATTAATCACAGCAGGGGAAAAAAATCTCCTTCGTTTGGAGTTTTGCGCTCTCCATTCCTATGATACCAGGATGAAATAAAAATGAGTGAGGAAAGGGAAAAAAATCATTTAAAAATCCTGAATTGTCCTTCTGAATAATTATCATGCATTTTGTCTCACTGATGAATTAGAGAACTGAGGACATTGTATTTTACATATAGACATCAGCCTGCTACTGGTATTTCACATCTAATTATCAGTACATAAATGATATAATTGTATTATTAAGTTTTGGACCTGAATTGTATAAAGGTAATGAAACAATAAAATACCAAAGCAAATATTTAATTATAATTTAAATGAGCACTTAATAGTTCTTTTTAATAAATAGCCAAAATGTAGGATGGATGAATAGAACTAGCAATAGAATAAGCAGAGATCCTTGTCCCACTTCTTTACAAACTAGCTGGGTAACTTTGAGTAAATTATTTAACCACATTGTACTTCAGTTGTCTTATCTGTAAAATGAATAGACAAATCTACTAAGGTCTCTACCAACTCCAAAATTTTATGGTATGTAATTCTAATCTCAACTAAGTGTCATAATATTGGTGTGGAAAAAGAAACTTTAACCAATCATTTATTCCTACACCTTTCCTTTAAGGCAGCTATGTAAAATAAAATCCTGAAAAATGTAAAACTTTCCTAAACCACTTGAAACTTAGGGAAAAAAAATATTGACTCAATCATAGGTAAAATATAGAGGAACATCTGTTGAGGGTCCAACAGCTCTAAGTTTAAATTCTAGCTTTTTCCCCTTCTAGTTTGTTAGCCCATGAGCAAGTATATTTCTTGATCTCTCTGAGTCTATTAATGAAAAAAACCAATGAGTCTGTTTCCTTAAATATAAAATTGAAGTATGAATATTTACCTGACAGGATTGCTATACTTATTAAATAATGAGATCATATAATTAGAAATAGTGCTCAATTTTTTTAACCTGAATATATTTTGAGTGGCTGGCAAGATGTCAGACATGCCATTTAAATACATATTGAACATTAATTATAAACTATTTATGCTATTTCCTGTGTTACATTTACTTTCAAGAATATGATGGTTGCATCATTTTCTATAATGAATAAAATGCATACCCCAAACTGCAGTGTCTTTTGATTAACAGTGGAAACTGTTCCATGAATTGTGCTTCACATTTTTCTTAATGAGTGTTGAAAAGAATCTGTTTCTTCACTGTATACGAAGTATTTCAGTATGTGAATGTTTTGAGTAGGCAGGCAAGTCCTTCTGCATGTGAAAATATTATTGTTTTCTTTCAGGAAACCCTCGTAGATTGGTGTGATGAAAAGGAACTTAATTTGATACTAACAACTGGAGGAACAGGGTTTGCACCACGAGATGTCACTCCAGAGGTGAGATAGTATATGCTTTTCTGATATTCAATGAGTAGACTATTCATGTTATTTTTAATCCTTTTTATTATTTTTATATGATTTATGTAATTTTGCTAGACAGAACAAGAGAACTGTGGTTCTAAGAATGTGAACATTTTGCTGTGGGAGAATCATTATATTAAAAAAAAAACTTTCTTGACTTCTTTTCTTTGGACTTAAACTAGAAATTATCTAAAATGAGGAAGATTGAACTGGTCCAGAAGGTAATCCTGCATTTGCTCAGTGGTCTGTGGTATCGGCTGAATTTCAGGCATATTACCAAAGTAGGTAATAGCAGAGCTCTGACTCAGCATGGCATCTGGTCTGATGTGCTTTGTTAATTAATTCAAAATGTTTCTGATTTATCTTGAGATACCCTTGTCATTGGTCTCAAGTAGGATGACTGCAATAGCATATTTATACCAATTTTATAGTATTTGATGAGAAAGTTATATATTCCATAATTTTAAATGTGAATTTAAATGCAGAATTTAATAAGCCAAAAGGCAGAATTAATCTCTAGGCTTCATGCCACAAGAATCACCTTCAACCTTGCACAGGAAAAAAAATTAGG